CATGATTATTTACCCAGAGCATAATTCTGTCTTGAAGAATGTGTAAAATAGGAATATATGTGTGTAGATCTAGAAATATAAGATAGAGGTATATATTTGTATATAAACATACTTACACACACATATATAAAAGCTTTTCTGTGACATTTTAGAAATCATTCAAAATTTTATTTTTAACCCTTTGAGTGCCAACCAATATCCTAGGAACTATGCTAAAATTGCCAAGGCATTTTTGCTGATTTTACAGCAGTGTAGGAAAAAAATTATGAATCGCAAGTAAATGAAGTTACATATTCAAAAACTTAAGGAAACCTTTACTACATTTGTTGTCATCTTTGACATATATTGTTTGCTGATTGTATTATAAAATACTAGTAGAAAAAAAAATTGCCGATAGCGCTCCCAGCACTTTTGGGGAAAGACAGGAGGAGCACGATCGCGCTCCCCGGCACTCTAGGGGTTAAAATGGCTCCCATATTTCTCCCCTCAGCTATGGATGAGTGTGATTCTTCTATTCAACCAGTTGTGTAAACATTTAATTCCTAGCATGCTTCAGTCAGTATGGTAGGTTTGGGGGACATATAGATAAATAAGACATTGTCCTTTGCACATTTTAGCTAACAAATCTTAAAATACGTTTTCAAAGTTCTTTTCATAGGTTTGCATTCATATTAAAAATGGTAAAATACTAATAATATTAACAGCTATTGGCAACACCTGAACCTGTCATAATGTGGTCTTGCTTGGAGCTGGTCTGACCAAGTGTGTAAGTGGTACCTATAAGTGTGCAGTCAGTCTGGCTCATGTTGGGCTACTGTAAAAAGGACCCACAACAACAAAGCTTGCACGTTAAATTTCTGTACAGTGACTTGTTTCATGTCAGCGTTACGTGAATTTAAAATTTTGTTATACCTTGCACTTTCAGAAAGTTCTCTTAACAGTTAATATAATCGAATTGCATATTGATATAATTTAAGAAAACATTCTTACAATCTCTGTATTTTGGTATTCCCTGGCATCGAGAGCCTATAGGACACCAGTTAATTATGTGGCTTCAGCCTGTACTAGTAATATTTCAGTAACGTTTACTTTAGTATTGGGGGGGAGGAAGTGTCTGGTACAGTTTTTTTTAAATTTTATTTTAAATCTACTTTTATCTTTATTGTTGAAAGTATTACAGATGCCCCCTTTTATTCCCCATTGACTCTTTCTAGCCCGCCCCCCGCCCCCTGCCTTCACCACATGATAAAGTTTTTTAAACTTTAGTATGGAAACTTGAAACATTCGCACAGTAGAGAGATTCGTATAATGAATTCTCAAATACTCATCTCCTGTCCTCACTAGTAAAATATAATGGCCAGTCTTGTTTTATCTACACGCTCACCCCATTACTTCCCTCCTGACCCCTCAATGATTTTTAAGAAAATCCCAGACATCATGTAATTTCATTGTGCAACATTTCTGTGTGTATCTCTAAGAGAAAATAAAATCATTTGTGTTCCCTGTGAGTGCCGGCTAGGGAGAGTCCAGCAGGGCTCGGGAGCAGGCCTGACCCGCTGTGCTCATAGTTAATTTGCATTTAGAAAGATCAAGAGTTTATGCTACTTGGGTATATCATCATTATTGTAACTCAAAGGGTTTGAAATGTTGATTTTGTAAGTACATCTAAGAAAACATGAGTCACCATTATGCATATGTATGAGGTGAGGTCAAGTCCTGGGCTCAGAGCGAACCTGCACTTGGCTTTGTCATTTGTGCATGACTGCCTCCCCCAAAACGTATGGGTCTTTGTTTAAATGCTGGGAGGCAGCATTCTGTAAGCTTCTGTGCACGTCAGAGAAAGAGCAGAGAGGAAAGGTATGTGTGTGGCTGGGGAAGGAGAAGCTGAACAGGGTGACTGTCACCAGGTGGAGCAGTGACTTCCCTCTCACTCGGCTCATCTAGCCTGTTTGGGGATGGGGGAGTTTTGTTTTTTTAAATATATTGATTTCAGAGAGGAAGGGAGAGGGAAAGAGAGAAACATCAATGATGAGAATCATTGATCGGCTGCCTCCTGCACGCCCCCTACTGGAGATCGAGCCCACAACCCAGGCATATGCCGTTGACCGGAATTGAACCTGGGACCCTTCAGTCTGCAGGCCGATGCTCCATCCACTGAGCAAAACTGGCGGGGGTGGGGAGGGAGCTTTTATTTAATATCTTGAGATATCATTCACATACTACAGATTTCACCCCTAAGGTGTACAATCAATGATTTTACCATCATCATCTAATTTTAAAACATTTTCATTACCCATTAGCAGACACTCCCCATCCTCCCCCCAGCCCAGCCCAGCCCTAGGCAACCCTCCTCCACTTTCTGTCTCTAGAGATTTCCTATTATGAATATTTCATATAAGTGGGACTGTTATAATACGTTGGATTGCTTCTTTTTGCTTCTTCTAAACCCAGAGTTTCTGGGATTCAATCAAATCCAACCTCCTCTTTTGCTCTTGACTTTCTCTCTCTCTTCTCGGTTCCTCTTGATTTACACCTTGTCCTTTGCTTGGCGTTTACTTGACTTTGTGGCATTTATGGTCAGGCAGATGCTGACCTCTTCCCTTAGAGCAGGCGCTTTCTTATACAAGGGTTGTGAAATGAAACTTCAAAAGATATTTTAGGACTTACTTGTTTTTATACAGATTCTTAAAAAAAAAAAAAAGTTGACTTAATCTAATTCAAGTAGTCAGGTGCCCCCTGTGGGCCAGATTGCCCTTCTCTGTGCTCTGGACGGCTGTGCTATGTACGAGAGCATTGATGTTACATGTAGACTTTGGGGTTACTTGACGTGCTCCTGCTGAAAACACGTGTAATAAGTTTTCCTTTTCTGTTCTCTTTTATGCTCGTTAACTGGATGAACCTGATTCTATTCGAATGTGACTGCAGTTCACAGGATTCCTTTGCACCTCGCCTTTGGAGGTAAGTGCACCCCGACCTCAGCACTAGCATCGCCGGTGGACGTCTTGTGTGGGCCACACACTTGGTAACGATCACTCCCTGGATCATTTCGTTGTGACACATTTGTTCTTCAGTAACAGAAACGAGATGAATGCAGACTTTCTTGATAAGAGTTTTGATGACTTACAGAGCTACCTTCAAAACAGGCCATTGCTTCTTTTTCGGTACATTTTCCATTTTAATAAGTGGAGTGAACAGTATTGTGTCTCCCGCTCCCATAACTGTTTTAACACCAGCCTTATATTCTCTGAACTGCCGAGGTGTTGACGAGCTGGAGAAGCGTAGGCAGAGGCTGACATCAGGGATGTTTTATTTGGTTTGAAAGAGCTTTTGAAAATTTGTGGGTTGATTAGGGCAGAGCAGAGGACTGACCTTGACTGAGCTGTTCTTGTAACAGGCCCTCCTCTCGGTGCCTCATTCACTTTCTGGTTAGTCCTCGTGGTGGTTCTGCAGATTAGAACTGAGAAGCTAGTGATAAAATGTGAGAGAAAGAAGACACTTAGCTACTCAGAGGACCAGGAGTCATTGTAGCTGCAGCGGATACGGAATACCTTGCAGGAGAGGCGTGAGACTTTGGGAAAAATAGAAAGGGGGGCGGCCGAGAGTGTCGAGACGCTTGGATTTAGAGCCCTTGTGGGTTCAAGATCATGCCTTCATTCCTGGCCACCTGGCCACCCCCAGCTTCTCGAGCCGCTCACGGCAGTGAGAAGAGCCTGCTTTTCTTGCTTCCTGGCTTTATTCTCGGTGGTGTGCACAGGAGCACGGAGGAAAGAGTTGGTGGGGCTGAGGCTGAGAGTAGCAGGTGTTACCCATATTTTGGCAGCTAGAAGCACAGCAGGTTTAATGTTTATATCTTAATGTGGGTGATACTCTGACTCCCCAGCTGGGTTGTAGCCCCTCAGCCTCGGGTCTGTCGTCTTCGTCTCAGGGTTCTCTCAGGTGTAGGTGGGACTTGGGGCATCAACCGCACACCTAGAGCTGCACCAAACACGTGCTTTTTAATGAGCCCTCGCACCTGGCTAACACTGGGACTTTATGTGCGGACGCTTTTGTCTTTGGTGAAAACAGAAGGGGAAAGTATCAAGATTGAAACTTAGGGATGGTTTCTGTCATTTTCTGTGTGATTTGCTTTTTCCACGTAATGATTTGGAGATGTACGTTGCCTTAGCTAAAGTGACCTATTTCTGATTGGACCTATGGACATGGGGGAGGAAAAAAAATAAAAATTTAACATGGCCAATGTGCTCTTTTTTTCCTTAAAGTATTTGGGAAGTGGTTGAGGGCTTTCTGTTGATACTGTTTTAGACTGGAATTTCCCACGGGCTACCTGATGACAGTTACTGGCTGCTATCTCCCTCCCCCCAATCTCCAGGCATTGAGCTCAGGACTCGGCTCCTTGGCCCCGCGGAACCTGAGAGCCAAAGCAAAGCTAAGGCAGGAGACTGTTGGGAGTCTCTAAATGTTTGATTTTGCCACTAAGCTTATGGTTTAGCTGTAGAAGGAACGCCTTGGCTAATCTGAGAAGCTAGTGATAAAATTGTGAGATAAAAGCCTAGTATGCTAAGTGTGTGACCGTTTGACCAGTCTCTATGATGATCACTGACCACCAGGGGGCAGACGCTCCGACCAGTAGGTTAGCTTGCTGCTGGGGTCCGGCCGATGGGGACTGGGCCAGATGTGCCAGACACGCCCTGGAGCCCTCCTGTGGTCCCTCCCCTGCCCCGATCATGCACTGGTGGGGTCTCTCGGCCTGGCCTGTGCCCTCTCGCAATCCGGGACCCCTTGGGGGATGTCAGAGAGCCTGTTTCGGCCTGATTCCCGCAGGCCAGGCCGAGGGACCCCACTGTTTGTGCACTGGGCCTCCAGTTTCGAATAAAAGAAAAATAATCTGGTAGAGACTGAAGTACATGAGACTTGCAGGTGGAAATGAAGGAGACTAGATTTCACTTTGTCCACAAAAGCTGCTCTGAATGAACCATGTCCCTTTGTTGCAAGTCCTAAACAGTTACCTGCCACGTGAACTGATGAGATGGTCTGGGTAGTAACTCCATCAGTAATGGGATCCGCTGCCGCTTGAGTGGAGCCATGTGTGGAGCGTCGTTACTTCCCTCTGTGGGGCTGACCCTTCACGTTCCTGTGAGCTGAGGACTAATAGAGCTCATTACGCTTTATGGGAAAAGAGCTTTTATCACCTCGTCAAGTCAGGCAACATATTTCCATTCTCGTCCCCGTTTTGTGTGGCTCTGCGGCTGCTGATGTGCGCTCCCTGCTAGGTTTACATCGGCCTCTCCCTTACAGACGTTTTTATTGACATTGCTAAGTCTGAATTACATTTGGTGTGGCACCACCTACAGATGTCTTCAATTAGGTGTAGGTAAGTAAAGGGATTATATATCAGAGGCCGAGAGATTCTTGAAATTCTCCTCTGAGTCAGGCCCCGCCAGCGGTGCGGTAGGGGGCAGTCTCAGCCCCATTCTGGAGGGGACAGCACAGGAGGGCCTGTGAGGAGCTGAACTGTGTGTGCCTGCGGGCTACTGGGTTTCTCCTCAGGTGTCCTTCCAGGCCTTCATTTCAGATCAGTTAAAGTCTTCAGCTGCAGTTACTATGACTTACCAAGAAGTTGGCACCTACAGTGTGGGTACTGTGCTAAGCTCCCTGCTTCCCTTGTTTCAGTTCTCACAAAGTGTCTATGAGGTAGACACTCCCCACATGCTTACGACGCGCATTGAGCCTGGAGAGGTAGGCGAGGTCAGGTCAGCATCGCAGCTGCTTGTGTGAGCCGGCAGTAACGACGGCGGAGGGAGTGAATGAGGACACTGCTCTGACACTCCAGGCACATGAAGTGATGTCACATGATTGGAAGGAAGACAGTGATGAGTTGGAGACGGATTCTGTAAACGCTAGAGCAAGCTTTCTCAACCTCGGCACTGTCGGGGGGTCGGTTCCGTCTTTGTTGTGGGTGTTCTCCTGAGCAGCACTCCTGTCTCTTACCCACACGGATGCCAGGAGCACCCTCCGTCTGAGCTGGAGCCAAATGTCCTGGGTGTGTGTGTGGGGGCGGGGGGGCACTGCCCTAGAGCAGCCTTAGAAAAAGAAAAAGGAGACACAGCCACAGTCCAGTAGTGAAGACGACAGCAACGAGAACACATTTTCAGTCTCTCGGGGTCAGGAAAAGAAGGAAAGGTGGACAGAGCACAGGTGAGACAGATAGAAAACAAATGGCAAGATGGCCCCCTTGAATCCGCCACTATTGACTTTATATTAAATATAAACGGTCTAAACCAGCGGTTCTCAACCTGTGGGTCCCTTTGGCGGTTGAATGACCCTTTCACAGGGGTCGCCTAAGACCATCCTGCATATCAGATATTTACATGACGATTCATAACAGTAGCAACATGACAGTTATGAAGTAGCAACGAAAATAATTTTATGGTTGGGTCACAACATGAGGAGCTGTATTTAAAGGGCCAGAAGGTTGAGAACCACGGGTCTAAACCAAAGCTCGGCTGTGTGGAAATGTTTATACCTGCACTATCTCAAACATGTATGTTGCTAGTGGTCACACATAGCTACTGAGCTCATTAGGAACCGAATTTTAAATTTTCTTAAAAGTTAGTTAACTTACGTAGCGGTGTGTGGCCAGACCTGCATTGAAAGACACCCGGTAATTTTTCATATGATGGGGATCATATTTTCCATTTTACAGTGTTGTAGTCTTACTTAACTTGGAGAAATGTTCATGTTACTAAAAAGTCTTGGTAAAAATAGTTTTTACTTATTACATGACAGTTGCTCATATAAATGTACTGTAATTAGCTTCTTTATTTTATGGTTTTAATTTGTTTCTTTAGTGTACTGATTGCCAGAAAATTAGGAATTTGATTTTTAAATCACTTTTACAAAACTTGTTAATCCTGAGTGTTGCTATTTGCAGTTTCCATATTAAACTTATTTTTTTAATTTCTTATTATAGACTATTTCAAATTTTCAAGTTTAGTTTTTATTTTTCTTAAGAAATGTAGCCCTAGCCGGTTTGGGTCAGTGGATAGGGCGTCAACCTGCGGACTGAAGGGTCCCAGGTTCGATTCCGGTCAAGGGCATATGCCCGGGTTGCGGGCTTGATCCCCAGTAGGGGGTGTGCAGGAGGCAGCCGATCAATGATTCTCTCTCATCATTGATGTTTCTATCTCTCCCTCTCCCTTCCTCTCTGAAATCAATAACAAAAATATTTAAAAATAAATAAATAAATAATGTAGATTTTGATGCCATAGTGGTTTAGCACACCTTTGGGTTTCTATTTTTAAAATGAATTCAAAGTTTAGTATATAACTTAGTATGAAACTATTAACAAAAGGCAAAACAAGGAATAAGTTATTGTAAAACAATGCATACTTTTAATCGTGCTTAAAAAGAGTACCTTTGGGGGCCTCCATAAGCTGTTGTTTAAAAAAGTTCAGGGCACCAGTTGTCTAATCACAGATTGTGGTGAACAGCTGTGTTTGGGGGAGGCGCTTTCGGGTGCCACCGAAGGAAGGAGGACACAGGCTCTGATCCTAAAGCCCCTGAAGACATTCCCTGTTCCCGTCTTTGACAAACCCCCCCCCGCAACCTACAGTGTCACCTCTGGTGCCTGGCAAATGACTCCCCCTTTGAGTCTCTAAAGTGTGTGTTTTAAGCATAACAGGTACATGGAGGCAGATGGGTCAGGAGACAGGTGCACTTTATCAGAGAGAATAGACACTCATTTGGGGAGCGGTTGGACTAGAAGCCTGAAGTGGCCTATTAACATCGGTGGCACTCGGCACAGCGCCCTGGGATTGTGCTGCATGGCTCATTAATCACAGCCGCCTGCCAGCTCCCGGGTGTGAGGGGGCTTCCTTTTGTGTAGCTGGTGGTGAGCTTTATTCTACTTTTCCTGTTGTCAGCTCAATCCTTGAAATGAGCAACTTTTGAGAAATAACTTTGCTTATTCTTTCACATATCCAAATCTGTATAAACTGCAGGCATGAGAAAGATAAACTATTAAATAATTGCTATCACATCACTGACTTAAGTATGAGGAGATTAAAGCTAACTGCAGTTATTAGTTTAAATAACTTTGCTATTAAATGAATGAGCCACTGATGTAACTTCATGGACATAATCTTTTAGGATATGCCATTCGGACCCATTAAACCAAAAGCGAAACTGACCCAAATTTGCAGGGTGCTTTTGTTTGTACATTGTCATTTGTTTCTTACAGCTACTTTTGAGCGTGAGTAGTAGGATGATTCCTGTTTTTAAAGTGTAGAAACATACTTTTAAAATAAGTTAAATGATTGTCTTGGATCAGTTTGTAACTCCATGGTTTCATGATTGTCTTGCTTAATTGACTCCTCGTGGATTTCAGGTTTCCTCCTCTGATGGGAGGGGGTCAGAGCAGGTAGTTCTGTGGCTTCCTTTCCCTAAGGAATTGGAAGGCAGCCCGTGTCTACATGAAGTGCTTTGCAGGTGGCGAAGGTCCCTGGCTTTCACATGAATTGAGAGATGGGAATAATGCCTGTGGGAGGGCAAACTGCTCATTCAAATGAATGGAAGCAGGTTATTAAAAGCGAAGTCCAGGGAATGAGAGAAATAATGGTTAATGGTTATTGGAAATGAGAAGGTAAATTGCAATCTTAAAAAATATTTCAAGCTGATACACAAATTTGTCTAATTAGCTTTTTTTGTTTGTTTTGTTTATCCTCACCCGAGGATATTTTGATTTTTTTATTTTATTTTTATTTTTTAGAAAGAGTGGACGGGAGGGGGAGAGACAGAGAGAGAAGCACCGATGTGAGAGACACATGGATTGATTGCCTCCCGCAAGTGCCAAACTAGGGTGAGCCTGCAACCGAGGTACAGGTGCGTGCCCTTGACCAGAATCAAACCCGGGACATTTCAGTCTGCGGCCAACGCTCTAGCCACTGAGTCAAACTGGTTACGGCCTCATCAGCGTTTGACCTGGAGGGTTCTGACAGTCCAGCTCTCCCCTCTCCATCTCGGGGCCACTGCAGGCTTGCTCTCCTGTGGGATTATTTCCAACGACAGGGAGCGCATTCCTGTGGGCCCCAGGGCTCCCCTCTGAAGGCAGTTCCTGTGAAATGCCAGGACACACAGGGATTGGCGTCTTGCTTGTGGCGAGTTGGAGTAGTCTAGTTTCTGAAACAGGGTGTTAGACTCCGTCTTTCAGCTGTTGGTGTTGGTTGAGGTGGTGTAGCCATAACAGGTAGTTCACCTGTCCTCTTGAACCTGTGTCTGCTTCCAGGGAATAGTAGTCACGTTAGAGCAAAGCTACATGTGGGTTTGACATAATTCATTATAGTCGGTGGAAGCTCTTAAAAGTTTAAAGATGTGTTTATTGCCCAAGCAGCACTTGAACTACTCCGTGGAAGTTAGAAACCACGGACACTGCTGGCACCTCAGTGAGTCCTCGTGTTTGCTGTGGTGACCGTGGTCCGCTGTGCAGGTACTGCCCCTCCCCCGATGCGGTGCTCTGTGGGAGGAAGTGGCTCTGTGCCGCCCACACCTCAGCAGGAGGGAGTTATGCTCCCCTGCCTTTCGGTTCTTCCGGATTTTTAGAGAGAGGGGAAGGGAGAGGGATGGAGAGAGAGACATCGCTGAGAGAGAAGCATGGATCAGCTGCCTCCTTCACACCTGGGCATGTGCCCCGGCCGGTAATCAAACCGGTGACCTCTTGGTTCCTGGGTCAGTGCTCAGCCACTGAGCCACACTGGCTGGGCACCACTACTTTCTTTCCGTATTTCAGCTCGGGCCTTTGGACCTCTTTCACTTCTCCCCTGCCCCTTTGATGTTCCTCCATCCATCGGGGTTTGTTTTTCTTGTGTGGAGTCCTTCCTTGCTGTTGGCACTACCAGACACTTTAGGCTCATTGTATCCGTTTCCTTCCTCAGTCCTGGAGTCAGTCCTCCAAAGAGAAATGGTTCATTTCTTCTTCTTCTGGTTCCTTTGATTGCAGAATGGAGAAACCAAGATCTGGGTGCTACGTGTGCTTGTTACTACGGGGGTGTCATTTCTCTTGGGCCTTATCTCACAGAACAAGTAAATAACGTGTGTATGCTGACCCTTATATGTACACATCTGTGACAAGCTGCTCATGTGTGTGTCTGTTTTCACAGCCAGAGAATCCCCCTAATGGACCCGATTGTGGCTATGGCTCCTTTCACCAGCAGTACTGGCTGGACGGCAAGATCATCGCTGTGGGGGTGATTGACATCCTTCCCTACTGTGTGTCGTCTGTGTATTTGTACTATGATCCTGATTATTCGTTTCTGTCCTTGGGTGTCTACTCTGCACTACGGTAAGATTGCCTTAGACAGTTGTTAGGGTCATATAGAACTTCCAATAATTCCTCATTTGATGATGTGTCATCATAAACAGTAGAAATCCTATTGTGATAGTGCATATAATTTGTTGCTACAGTAGTCTCATATATTGGTATTTAGAAACACCACTTTTAGAACTGAGGCCAGTGCCTGATGGTAATTCCTAAGCTTTTGAAGGTCTCCATCCATCTGCTCTAGTGCATGAGAAGTCATTGTATTTGTGGGATGTTTTTGTTGTTTAGTTTATGCATTTATTTAAGCTCCCCTGTCAGAACCACTTAATGCTCCTTAAATGTGATATTATTTATTTATTTTTCTTGTCATCAGTGTTGTATATATTGTTTTCATAAAGGTTAAGTGAATCTGGCACAAATGAATTGAAATATGCAGTTATGTAAAGTAGATAGATTAGGCCCGGGAGTCCTAGCCTCGGCTTGACGTCGGCTCCTTATCGGGCGATGACTTCCCTTGTATGTCAGCTGCAAATACATGCAGCACAGCGCACATACCTTAGGTGCATGATCCTGAGGTGAAGAGAGCGGGGCCTTATTCCATGAAAATGCTTGTTTCTGTTTTCATTCTTGCTGGTGCCTGTATGTCACGGGGGCGGGGAGGGGCGGGTTGGGGGGGAGGCAGGGGAATTGAGAATAGCTCTTCTGTTCGGGAGCTCAAGTCTCTTTTTGTCCTTCGGTATCATTGTGTCATTTTTTCCCTCTCCTTTCCCAGTTCCTCTGTCTGATGGTCACATTTTTACATCATGGTAAAATATACTCTGCAATTATTTTAATTATTGTGTATGGGGGTTTTTTTGTATTTATGGAAGTAAAAGTTAATATTTTCTTTAATCACCATTTGATTTATTTTTTTGATTTGGTCCATAATTGATTTTTGTGTGTGTTTCAATGGCCCATGATATAAAGAAGTTCTCCATCTTGGTATTTTCAACCCATCTTATCTTAGTGATAGCAAATTCACAATTATACAATATTTACAACTGATCTCTAATCATCTTTTACTTTTCTTATGTATTTAATTGCATTTTTATATAAACTAAAAAATATTTATGACTCTTGGTGATCTCACTAAAATTGGAACTGATCATTTGAAGCAATCGCATTTTATAACTTGAGACACATATTCTGTTGATTTCAGAAAAGATACTCTTTCTTTGTATCGAAATCAGTTAACACTTTGAAATTATTGCGATTTTTTTTGTATCTATCACTTTACAGTGCATAGCTGTGGATTTGTCTAGACATCACAGATGAATATTAAGAATATTTATTCCTATATAATAAGTCCCATCCATGTCTCATAAGAGACATAGAAATCCTGCATTTGAGATAGTAAATAATTAATTCCCTGCAAAATGAGAGAGTTGTGTTTGTTGTTTGGTGTATCTTTGGAAAATTCTAGAGAGCTTTGGGGAGGAAGCAGGGAGCCTGCACAGGAGAGCACGGCGAGGTGCCCGTCTGCAGCCCTTCCCGCCCTTCCCTTAGCGCCCTCGAGGTGGAGCTGCTGAGCTTGTGGAGGAGAGAGAACTAGGAGATCAGTATTTCAGAGCAAAATCTGGAGCCAGTAGGTCACAAGTTCCAATTCTGTTACTACCGACTTTAATGTAGTTCAGTGAAACCTGTTCAGGTAGTTTTTTCCTCCAATCATTTAATATAGATTTTTGTGTTTCAATCTATAATCAATATAGATTTTTATGTAATCTAGTCTGCAGATTTGAAAAATGTTTTGAATTGGCGATCTTGAGCATGGCTTTTTTTTAAAGATGTATTTTAGCCATGTAATTCATTCGTTTAGTAGATGCTTGCTTGAGTTCTATTTACGTGTTCAAAAGCCAAGAACATAATTCTAGGCCCTCTGCTGTGCTGTGACAAATAAAACCACGGTGGGCTGAGGCTGCTGTTACGCAGGGTGGTCAGGCGAGGCTCTGAGCAGGTGCAGTTGAGGAGCAGAAAGCAGGAGAGGAGCCGGCTCTGTACAGTCTGGGGCAGAAGTCCAGGTACCCTGAGTAGTGGAGGAAAGAGAAGGAAGGTGTGCCGGGCTAGGGTGTCGGCTGGCGATGGGCAGTGATGGGCAAGGAGGGCAGCTGGCAGCTGGCAGCGGTGAGGAGGGGCAGATGGAGCAGGGCTTGTGGGTCATGGGAAGGAGGTTGGACTTCAAGTGTGACACCAACCCAGTGCCAGCGTGAGGTTACCCGATCTGCTTAATGAATAACAACAAGAAGCCATACTAAATAGATCTCGCCAACTTTATGGTGTTTGAATTTTAGATTAACCACTATCTATGCCCAAGAAAGTGTGAAACCTGAATTTAAATGCATTGCTCAAAATTCAGAGGGTTTTTTTTGGTGTCTTTATATTAAAAAACATCTCACAGTGTTTTTAAAATAGTTCTTTCAACACTTGGATTTTTTTTTGATAGCTTAGTATCAAATTTTATCAAATATTTGTCATCAATTTACATAATACTTTGTTGGAACTAGATATAACTGTTCTTTATTTCTTTTGACAGAGAAATTGCTTTCACTAGGCAACTTCATGAAAAAGCATCTCAACTCAGCTATTATTATATGGGTTTCTACATTCACTCATGTCCCAAGATGAGATATAAGGTAACGTTGATTTCACACATGTCTGCTGTAGATCCAGTTTATGAAAATCCATGCTTTCACAGTTTGTCATCACAATAGTTTCACTTGCTTGTACATTTCTAATGGACATCAACACATTTCTTTAAGCGTCTTCAACCTTTCGTAGTGTCTAGCCTGTTCATCACCTTGAATAGTGCCTTACCCATCGGCACCTAATAGTTGTTTCATGTAGTTAATCTGCAGTCATTTGCTGACCATGTAGAAATCCTAGCTGTTCTGGGTAAATTTACATGCTTTTTCTGAATGAAACCTGGGGAAAATCAGTTCAGAAGTCAGGAAGTTGGGGGAAAGTATAATCATTTTGCCACAAGAATTAAAGCTGAGTAATCCCCATAGACTGTTACTGGTTTGAAGGATTCCACCAGCATCAAGCTTAGACCAGGGGAACGTTGACATTTTTAGGAAGAAGACAGGTGTGGAGTCTGTCTAGCAGCTGGTTTGGTTTGTAGCAGTGGCCCTGTTGGTGAGGTTCTGTGCCCCTGTCTGCTATCAACACTGTAAACGTAACATTAATCAGTTTATCTCCTGAGTACATGAGGGGGGTTCTCAGAAATAAGCGTTGGAAGCACTGTAAGTTTATAAACTTCATTTCCACAGGGATTTCCTGTAGTGCTACCAACATGCTGAGAGAGCCAGCTGTTCGGTTTTTGGAAATGGTGATTTTGCTGGCATTTTCCAGTGTTTTAATACTCTCTATAGGCAGCTTGTTTTAACGCTGCCAGGCCTTGGGGATCTGAAGGCGGTGTTTTGGCTGAGCTCATTATCCAGATCTGTCTGTGGCCAGAGGTAGCAGTGACTGCAGGCAGTCGGCGTGGGTGTCATGGCGTGGCCAGACATCAGATGGTTCAAACAGCAGAAAGGGCTCGGAAATGTCAGAAAAGAAACAAAAGGCTCATTAGCTGTGATTAATCCTTAAACTCGGTGCCTCCCTTGACTGTGGTCTCACAGCACGGGCACACGGGCGGTGCCAGCGCTGCTGCTGGTCTGAGGGAACAGATGACCTCGCCGTTGCTGCATGGACAGAGCCCAGCATACGGCTTCCTGGAGCTAATGCCCAGTGACCACAGAGGCATTGCTGTAGTGTAGGGGCTTCCGATGCCTCCTGCTGGCAGGGGCGGGTAAAAACATCACATGCTCATCACAAATTCTTGTGTTTAAATTGTTGTTTTAGGTTTTGCTGCCTCAGAGTCAAAGGCAGTTTCCTCAGGGTCTGTGTGCTGAGCTTCCGTCACTGATGGGAGCGAGTGGAAGCTCCGTGCGGTTCATGGGCCCAGAGTCTGCACTGGCTCACGTCTTCCTTTTAGCAACATGAGGAGAGGTTGGAGAATTGAAATGCATCTAACTGGCTCTGCTTACCAGATTCATGATGAGGTGTCTATCACTTCTAACTGGAGAGCCCTAAAGTCCTTGCATATTCATGACAGGTAGATGTTAGCTGGGGATTGAAAGCGTATTTAATCAATGTTTCTTCTTTTCCCGTCCTCATCTCCTTCCCACAAAGAGGCAGAGCTTGGTGTGGAGGGAACATGATTCCTAACCTGGAAAGACAGTCCTGGGGTCATCGGTGAGTTTATGGCTGTGTCACCTCTGGGGCTTCTGAAAAGCACTGATGAGCTCTGCCCGGAAGAAGGAAGCTTGCTGCTCTCTCCACAGCGTCCACAGCCTGGGGCGCTGTTGTACGTGCGGCCTCTCTCCTGCCATCTCTCCCCTGACAGGGCACTCGCTCACCTCTGCAGGTGCAGCAGGGGGACTCCTGTCCTTTTGGAGTGCACGGTGTAGCTCCTTGCGCTCAGCTCTTTGTAGCGTGGTCCCTGAGTGTCCATGGAGAGCCTGCGCTGTGAGAGCATGCGGACGCCAGGCACGAGGACCAGGAGCAGATGTGGTCCCTGCTTGCCAGGCCCTTGAGCAAACCGTGTCTCCTCTGTCACTGTCCCGGTCCCAGGAAACTCCTTGACGACCAAGAGCTCTCTGGCTCACAATGTCAGTCGTGCTGAGGTTTGAGAGGCCTGGGGTAAAGGGGTGCCCGTTGCCGTTGGTCTGAGTTGCTCGGTTACTGTGGGTAATGTGCCTGCTGCCGTCAGAGAGGAGCTGTCAGAAAGAGTGACTGGGTTCACGTGACCATGTTGACATAAAGTGTCCTGTGTGACACACCAGAGAGGTTTCCTGGGCCTAACCCATGGCCCTGGGCAGCCATAACTCATTGAGGACACCGGACTGTGACATTTTCTTGAGGAGGCTCACGTGTGGCCTTCACGTCACTTAAAGGTGATTTAGTGTTTGTGCACGGAGACCTCTAGCCCCTCTGAGGCCTGGGAGAGCAGCACAGCACCGGGGCTGGCGTTTCCAAAGCGTGATGCTCACTTTTCCGCTCCCATACGCGAGGTAGGTCTGCCTTTCGTGTATGTAAGTCATTCTGCTGCCCTTGCTTTGTGGGAATAAACAGGAACCGCAGCTTCCTAATAACCACATGGATTGAATGACTCTGACCCCCGCAGCTGCATTCAGTTTATCTTTCCTAGTCCAGAGGGCACCCACCGTGCTGGCTGCTGCTTGTGGGACGGGAGGTCATTTTGGGACCAGCTTTTGAGGTGTGGCCCGTCCTTGCTCTTGGTGGGCACTAAGCTGCCAGAGAAGCACGTGTGCACGTGTGTCTGACTGGTTTCCCGGCTGTTACTCCACCTCCGTGGTGATGTTGGAGTGAAGCCAGTCCCCCTTCGCTCCCCCAGGACTCCCCCTCCCGGCTCCGACCGTCTTTCCTTCTTGCATCTGGACATGTTCTCTTCTCATGTCTTCGTTCTGTGAGAGCGAGGCAGCTGTAGGATTTGTGCCGGACCTTTCAGAGCCTGCGTCTCCGTTGGTGGCATTGGCCAAAGGGAAGCCATGGTGAGCAGCGTCGTTATCTCGGAGGGGCAGCGTCAGCTCAGCCGGCCGTGCCGGGAAGCAGCCGGAAGCAGAGCGAGCCTGGGCCGCTGTGAGGACTTCTGCCCGGTGGCCAGCTCATTCCTCTTCACTCTTGTAAAATACGATTCCATTTCAAACGCCAACCATGTGTCTTCCCTCACTCTCTATCCTCCTGGAGCCTGGGGCCTGGCTCTAGACCCCGGCCTGTGTGGGTGTGTCTGCGACTTGAGCCAGACCCTGCTGCCGTCTGCCGGCCTGGGCTGCTTTCGTTCTCTGGATCATCGCTGAGCCCTTCCTCAGGTGGTTCTCTGTAGTCCATGTCTGGCCGTGCATAGTCTGGGCTCCTTGTCACAAATCCAGCCCTGGTTCTATTTTACATTAAAAAATTTACTATTTTACATTATGGGAATGTTACCCTTTTCATATATCCTTAAATTCTCATAATTGGAAAGTGTTTGGGTGTAAATCTCGGGGAGTGCACAGAAGTGGAGAGCCCGTGGAGACCACAGGATGAACACAGCCTGGCGTCCTCTGATCGCCTCCTGGAGATGGACATTCTCTCCCTGGCAGTCCTGCTGTAAAGGCCAGAGAGTAATAGTAGGTTGAAGGCCACGTGGTCTGCTCTTGTGGCAAAGCAGCCATAGAAAGTATGTAAGCAAAGCATGGCTGTGCTCCAGGAAGCCTCTGCTCACGGACTTGGAATGTGAATTATGTAGTTCCTACAGGTCACAGAGTGGGGGTATTCTTTCATTTCAACCTTTGACAATGTAAGAGCCATTTTAGGGTGCAGGCCACGCGAAAGCGAGCAGCAGACCAAATGGGGCTCCTCCCACACATAGTGTGCTGACCCCTGCTCTGCAGCGTCAGGTAGACTCACTGCCGTGGATTGAGGCACAGTGAATGCCTTCAGCCTCGGCTTGTGCTGATACCCAGGACGTTGCCAGGGTCTGTCCGCTGGGCACCGCGCTGGCTGCTCAGAGGCTGCGTCTGCGGAGCTTCCAGGCGGCTGCAGGTCGACAGCTTCCAGACCTGCTCCGTGCTCCACACTCTCAGGCTCAAAGCTGTAAATTCGCCATCATTTCAGGCTCTGCATACGAGTGACTTGTCAGAATTACCCTCCCACATCTGGAAGTTGTAGACTTCAGCTTCGATTTTATTTCTACTATTTCCAGAGAGTTCTGATGTGATAATCATGCTATTTTGATTTCTCCAAATTTCTCCAAACTGTTACTAGATGTAAAGGTGATGATTGGCTCCTTAAATTTTAGGAGGATGTGGTGGGTGTGTGTGTGTGTGTGTGTGTGTGTTTTGAAAGCAGGGGTAGCTATCTTTTCTTTTTTTTAAAATACATTTTTATTGATTTCAGAGAGAGAGAGAGAAACATCAATGATGAGAGAATTATTCATCGGCCGCCTCCTGCACGCCCCCTACTGGGAATCGAGCCTGCAACTCGGGCATGTGCCCTTGACTGGAATCGAACCCAGGACCCTTTAGTCCACAGGCCGATGCTCTATCCACTGAGCCAAACCAGCTAGGGCAGGAGGATGTATTTTTTGTGTAAAGTCAAAGATAGATGACACTGTGGAAGAATGGTTGAACGGTTTGGCCGTTGGTAACTTTCCCTTTACATATGCATTTTAAAGTTAAGTCCTTTCAGCTCTAGCCGGTTTGGCTCAGTTGATAGAGCGTCGGCCTGTGGACCGAAGGGTCCCAGGTTCGATTCTGGTCAAGGGCACATACTTTGGTTGCAGACTCCTCCCTGGCCCAGGCCCTGGCCAGGGTGTGTGCAGGAGGCAACCAATTGATGTGTCTGTCACACCGATGTTTCTCTCTGTCTTTCCCTCTCTCTTCCACTCTCTAAAAATCAGTGGAAAAATGTCCTCGGGTGAGGATTAAAAAATAAAAATAAAGTTAAGTTCGTTCAAACCACCAATACAATATTCTTACATCATAAACGTTTTTTGTTTTTTGCGTATGTGGTTTTGTAATGGGCTGAAATGGATAAAACTATAACATTACAAAGATGTTAATAATTACTATCATCTTGAGGCTCTGTAAATTCTGTTCTGGCGGCGTGGTTGAGTTTGGGCCAATTTGATATTTTAAGCTGGATGGAATGAATAAGCTTTCTCAAGTTGTCATCCAAGATTGTTTGGTGTTTATAACATCATAAATTCTTCACAGTAAGTTATCTAGAATTCTGTGAATGGACTTGCTTTGCCCACTCTGAATAACTGTTTAAGGTAAAAGTGGCCGTGTTCTTCATAATCACATAACTGACGGTTGAGAAAGGGAGGAAGCGGTCTGTTAGTTCTCCCCTGAGCTTGCTGACCAGTGGGTCCTCCCCAAGCTGTCACAGTCGCCTTCTCCTGAGTGCTTCCTTGCAGGGACACAGAATATTGATGACACTCAAGGCCGTAGGATGTAGGTTCTCCTGGACTCCTGCTGCATGGTGAGGGGGAGGCTTTCCTTAAGCTTGAAGTGTTTCAGTCACTGTGATGAATTTCCCCTCAGGCAGAAAAAAAGGGATGATTACCAAAGATCACCCCCTGGGGTACACAGGAGGTTCAGCTAACTTCTTATTTCCCTCAGGGGTGTCATTACACAGACTTTCAGGAGTGAGGCTTTCATAGTCATTGAAAAATGTTTGCTGGGAAAATACTACAACTTCAGATAGAGGCGTGACCAGTGAGGCAGCTCGCTGTGTGTGAAGCTGTGTTTTCATGACTGTGCGCAGCATTGGTTTGACGCGGGGCCTCTCAACTTGAAAAAGAACCTTGAAAACGAAAGCCAACAACATGTTTTTCTGGGGTTCAGCCCCCGATGGCGCTAAGCAGGCGAGTCTCCATGAACAGGACACTTGACTTTTCTCTCTCCCCCGCCCCTCTTAAATATTAAAATGAGACTGGAGACGGCCTAGGGAGGTCTAAGGCTCTTCTAGCTTTAAAATGGTCTGATTTTCTATTTTTAAGGAATACAGGATGACACAGTTTAGTTTAAGTCAGCAAACACTAAGTATTTATTGAGAGCTCAGTCCATACAAGGTGTTCTGCCCAGGCACAAGGTAGGCAAGGAAACTCCAGGTTGGGGTAAGTGGGGATGGGGGGCGGGGAGGGGGTGGCTCGCAGCGAAGAGCAGGGCCGGCTGCACTGCGTTCTAGGGTGGGCTTAGCCCTGTGGCACTCGCTGTCTGATGTGCTTTTCCTCGCCTGTTTGCCAGACTATGTCGTGAAGTTTCCTATGATTATAAAGTTGCCTCCCCTCCTGGTAGAGGTCCCTGAGAACTGGGATGGGCAGCGTTGTTCCCCATGGCACGCCCAGGACGCTGGCATGGAGCCCGGCAGGTGGAGGGTATTTACTAATCACCTGCTGACCTGCAGGAATGAGAGCCCGGGGGATCCTGCCTGGGACGGAAGGAGTCGGTGGTGGTGAGGGGATGCCGAGCCCAAGGTGCATGGGCATTCAGACCCGATGAGCGGTCACCGCGGCCCCTAGCCCGTGCTCTGTGCTTAGAGCGAGTGCCCTGGGCAGCGCGGGGTAAGGAGGTCGGCTGGCGCACGTGGGCCTGACACTCAGTGTCCGGCCTCAGCCAGGAAGCAGGAGCACTGGGTCCACGCAGTGTAAACACCTGGCAGTGCTGTCACTTTCCCGCACAGGGTTCTGGGGTTAGTCGAACCTAAGCTCGTTCCAAAGCAGGAAGGAATTGGTCGTGCCTTTTTATCTTGTGTCATTTCTCGTCAGCTGTAACTAAGATCACTGGCCTCTGAAATGTGTCGTTCCGCTTTACTGTAGATATTGTGGAACCAGAAAGGGGTCTCGTGGAGAATTTACCCCGCAGTGCTCTCCTCTCCGATGGTGGCAGGGAGCTGGGCTCACCAGGGAGAACTTGGAGTCAGCTCCCATGTCTGTCTGTGGGTTGGAAGGTGTCACCTTAGGGGAGTGTCAGACCCAGTGACTAACTGCCGTGTTCTGAGTAGCAGCTTAGCAAAGCAAACACTGAACTGATGCTTTTCATCAACGTGGCGAAGGCCACATGTAATATACACATAAATACACACAGGCATTCATTTAAAATCTTTAACCTGCAACAGAAATTAAAGAAACTTTGAATTTTACTTTTCATTTTCTCTCTATTATTTTCTTTGTCTTCATCTTTCATCCTATTTCTTTCTTTTTTTCTTCTCTATCCTTTTCAACTTATGACCTTTCAGTTTGAAATTAAATTTGGGCTGTAAGTTGACTCCCTGAATCTTTTCTTCACAAGCTTTCTTTGTATTTTCTAGAAGAAAAAAGATTAACCCAGGGTTTCCAAAATAAAAGCAAAGATTGTGATTAAAGCTGAATTGGAATCTTTACTCGCTACTAGTAAAATAAATAGCCCCGTCTTAAGGAAGCTTTCAAGTAAGTCCTGGAGCCTTTGCCAGCCCTGGATTTTAATTAAAGAAACACAGGATTCCATCACTTCTGTTTGTCGGAGGAAGAAATATGTATTTTTAGGTTTTCAAAGCTTAGCCTACAGCACATGGAGCGCATCTGCTGGCTTTCAGAAATTGGGGAGCACAAATGGATGCAGATGTTTGGGCCCTTTGTCTTCCCATCTCAGCTCACCTCACTGCTGAGCGGGTGCAGGCCGAACACCGTTTCTGAAAACAGAGCGGCTCGAGTTACTTCCCAAGCACCCCCCTGGGGCCCGCAGTCAGCCTCTGTTTATGTGACGGAGCCAGGGAGCAAGGGTCTGCACGGGGCTCCTCCGAGGGCTCCGCTGGTGTTGTCTTTCAGGGGAAAGAAAGACTGGGCTTCATAACCCCGTTCTCCGCTTTCTCTGAGGTGCTGCCCACTCTAATGGATTGTTGTCAACTGGTTTTGTTTATGTAGTGTCAGAGCTGCTCTGAGGCAAGTGGTTGTAGTAAAGCCACTAGGTTTGTTGTAGAAAATGGGATACCTGTCAGCTTTGCCGATGGAGGACTCTGATCTTTCTTTCTTTCTGCTCAGTGCTTTCTCTCTCTCTCTCTCTCTCTCTCTCTCTCTCTCTTTCTCTCTCTCTGTATTTAAACAATATTGTCTTTTTTGTGTTCTTACATTTTTATTTAACTTGAACTTTCAAAACAAACCGCTGCTTTATCCTTTTCTCAAATACTCACAAAATCCTTCGAACTTTTCAAAATGTTTATGAAGTATTCCTGAGAGTGAAATCTCATAAAGAGCTTTGCTTCAGGACCAGAGTTCAAAGGAAAGTCCGTTTGGTTTTAATTTGAAAACTGTAAAAACAAAATTCCCTCAGAATGGCAGGGTGTGAATTGGTAACCTCAGTTTTATTGCCATCGGCCAAGCCCATCCCCAGATGCTTCCAATTAGAAGCCAGGAACGCTCACTTGGGTGGATATCATATGAAAGCCTTTCTTTACTTTTCTCTCATTTTCTTTTTTTTTTCCTGAGAAAAATAACAGTCTCAAGTTCTTTAACTTTAATTAAAGAAATAACTTCTTTTTTGCATGTTGTTTAAACTTATGCAAAGAAAAATGTAATATTCAGAATTCTTACATGTCAGATTTGTAAACATATATAGTCCTGAATACATAGGGGTTTACATATATCTTATGAAGGCCCCAAAAAAAAAAGTTTTTAAAAGATGTTAAAGCCTTTTTGAAATTGAAATCATGCATTTCTGGATTTACTATAATCAAAGAGTAGACCTTTTAACACTTGACTTTGTTTAAAAAGGGGTAGTCATTCCAGTGCTTTCTTCAGGATTGTTACAGAGAATTTTCCATTATAATATAAATAGTAAGCTTTTTCATTTTTCATCAGTTGTACGTTCAGTTGTAAGAAGTACTTCTGTAGGAATCTGGGAAGATGTAATCGGATAAAAGAAACATCCCAGATGTTTCTCTGAAATTTCTATGTTTTTTAGACTTCTCTTTATTTACATTTATTAGTTTAGATTGCTCATGGAAGTGGAAGTATGTTGACAAGACAGTACCTTTTAATTTACTAGAATGAAATGAAATTGTCAACTGAGTCTACAAAGTGAGAATTTTGTGACTAAGGATGATGATGAAATTCTATTTTAGAAAATGAGTTCATTTCATATATGAATTAGAATACTCTCGTACATGAAAAGAAATTTCCCTGTGTTATTAACTAGCATTTACAAGACAACTTGATTTTGAAACTGGATATTCTTAGCAATCAGCTCAGCCACAATCATATGTCAATTATTTCTCCCAAAAGAAATAGAAACCCAAATCTTCCAGATTGGCACAGGCCTCCCAGGGGTCCCGTGTCACACAGAGGCCCCGGATGCCCCGTGACTGTGGGCGGGGCGCAGGCACTGATAGAGTCCATGAGCCTGACAGGAAACCGCTCCAGCTGCCTTCCTTCCATGTGGTGCAGCCCTCCCCGGAGCCTCGGAACGAGGGCGTACGGTGGTGGTCATGCCTTTTCCCGCATGTCTCCTCAGGGTCATTACAGACCTTCCGACTTGCTGTGTCCTGAGACGTACGTGTGGGTGCCCATCGAGCAGTGCCTGCCTTCCCTGGAGAACTCCAAGTACTGCCGTTTCAACCAGGACCCCGAAGCAGGTATGTGTGGAGCAGAGCTCGACGGGAAGCCGTGGCTCTGGTCCTAGAATTCATGTGCTGGGGCTGGGGCTCCTAACAGGGTCCAGAGAGCTTTCTGTCTATTGTAGAGAGAGTGTGTGTGTGTGTGTGTGTGTGTGTGTGTGTGTAAGAGGGACCACATGCACACACACAACAAATAGCTTTGCAGAGAAATGCAGACAACTCGTGTGCTGGTGCTCCTTGCTGACCGAGTTCCTCATTCAATTCATTTTCACATCTTGCTTGAGGGCTGACTCCAGCATCCGTTACTTTTACTCAGAGTGCGTAGGAGTTGTTCCCCCGATTACTTAGCCACCAAGATAGAAATACTGACCCGTTGGACTGAGGAAAGTTGTGGAAGGGTTTCAGGGTGGAGCTGGGCAACAGGCTGTGATGGCTTTTCGTTTTGTGATACTTTTCTTGACTTTCTTCTTGCATCTCTGTGCTTCTCCTTTTCTGCCTCTTGCACCTCCTGCCCAGAAAGCCCAGCACATTTTCTCTCGTGTTCCCCATGGGTGCTCCCCCTTTTTTAAATCGTGCATCGAAGTGTGGTGGAAGCAAGTTCCTCCTTGAACCCTGCTCGCTGCATTAATTGTTGGGAACTCAGTCCAGGTTCCTCCTCTATCCTGTGCTCACTGTCATTGGTGGAAGCACCCCCTGCTCCATCCTGCCGACTGGTCCAAGTGTGGGGGCACAGGTTCTGATCCTGCCCTGCTACGCTAACTGTTGGGTCCGAGCCCCTCTGCTTGGGGCTGGACCTTCTTGGCTACTGGGTGGTAGACGGAGAAGCCAGGAGAAGTGTGGGTGTATGAGGGAGTCTTTATTGTAGGAGCGAGTGGCCATGTAGCCATTGCTAACAAGGAGCCACTAGACAAAAAGATCTTCAAAGGGAAGTCCCATACAGCAGGTAACTGCCCACGGCTAGTTAACAAATCATCTCCCCACCCAGCAGCAGTAGCCTCTGTCCCCACAGCTGTTATCTGAGCAGCCGCAGCTGCCTCTGGACCCACCGCCTCTGAGCTCTCTCCCCAGCTCTCCAGCCTCTCTCTCCAGCACACTGGCTGGTCAGTCACATGCATTAGACTACTGAGACCAAAGTAGTGACATGTTTGGGTTGTAGAAGGGCACAGTGTGCCCTGAGCTTGCTGTGTCCTTGGACACTCGATTAAGAGTCCATGCTCAGAGTGGCCTTGGCACTGGCTACTGTAGAAAGAGCCTTTCGTACTCTGATGGCCTTGAGCATCTGGCGACTCTGGTGTGGTTCCCACAGAGTGTTAACAAAATTGAGCAGTAAATCTGAAAGATCTTACTGGCCGTGTTCAATGACTCGTAAATCAGGCAGCATCCCACCAGCAGAACCAAGGAGCTCTGAGGAGCTGTGCACAGTGGACGGCTTATAGGCAGGAGAGGGCGGGACAAGGAAGTTACACTAGCAAAGAGCTGATTGGTTGTGGCAGGGTCTGCCAGGAGTCTGTCAGGCAGTTCACCTCAGGAGGGCTGACCATGGCATCCCGCTGGGCCGGTGTAAGGCCCGGCTCCTGGGGAGGCTGACCCTGAGAAAGCGAGGCAGTGAGTCTCGGTTTGCTGACCGGGCTGGGCACAGGGGACTCCACTCGGGGCCTGTTGTCTCATTTTTAACAGAAGAAAAGGAAGAGCCTTTTCCACATGTGGAGTCGTTGGAACTTTCCAGAGAACACCATGCAGTGTTATCAGTATTGAATATCACAGTCCAGACACTATTTGAAATCAGACTTATGTCCTGTGGTTTTAGGAAATTAAAGTGCAGTTTCTGCTGGAATGTTGTGCGTGCTGTGCAGCATGGCCGTTTGAGATTGAAGTGGCGTTCGTGAGAAACCTCCTCTCTGGGGCCAGGGTTGCTTCTGCTTGACCCAGACGCTGACGCAGAGAAGTGGTGCCGTCAGTCAGCGGGTGCTTTCTCCCAGGTCCTGGCTCCCCTCCAGCCTCCAGCAGTCAGATCCCCACCGAAGGCACCGCCGCCACCCTCGTCTCTGGGAAGCGCAGTGGCTACGGGTGCACCAGGGCCCACCTGTACGAAAGGTTACGTTTCCCATCCTGAGTGGCTGCAGGCCTCTGGGAACCTGTTCCTCCCTCCTCTACAAATACCGCCCTCCCCCCCCCTCACACACACACACTGGAGATTTAGGTTCTATGGTTATTTCTCAGCTAGGAAGACTGGGTAACAATAAAAACCCGGTGTATTTCCTGCTTTTAAAGTACTGGAGTGGGCGTGGGGGGCTGACAGCTGAAGTAACTTGGAAAAGTCTAAAGAAATCAACAGGCCTTTTGTTTTTCGTTCAGGACCTCAGGTCCCACTGTAGAGAAAGGATCTCAAAGGTTTCTCAAATGATTATTTATTTTATTTTTGTTACTCCTCACCCGAGGATATTTTTCCATTGATTTTTAGAGAGAGTGGGAGAGGGAAAAATAGAAACATTGATGTAAGAGAAACACATCGATGGGTTGCCTCCTGCATGCGCCCTGACCAGGGCTGGGGCCAGGAGGAAGCCTGCAGACATAGTACGTGCCCTTGACCAGAATCGAATCCAGGACCCTTTGGTTCGCAGGGCGACATTCTGTCCACTGAGCCAAACCAGCTAGAGCTCAAATGATTTTTAAGTCTTCAGGTTGTTTTAAATTGATAGTTGGATATGGATAGATTGAATATTTTTGTTTACATCTTTTTATTGATTGATTTGAGAGAGAGGAAGGGAGAAGGAGAGGAACAGAAACGTCACCCTGTCGCTCCACTCATTTGCACACTCATTGGTTGTTTCTTGTATGTGCCCGGACTGGGGGTCAACCCGAAACCTTGGTGTATGCAGCTGACACTAACCAACTGAGCTGCCTGGCCAGGGCAGGTAGATTTAAAAATTTCTGCATCAAAGTTACATCTTACCTCTTCTTAAAAATTATTTTAAAAAAATACTTACTGGGACGCTAATAGAAATTTGTCCAAATGCATGAAACCACGCTCAGGAGATTGAAGCGACACCGTCTCCTGCAGCAGCGCCTTGTGGGTGTACGCTCCTGCTCTCCCTGTCCGTGCACCCTCGCTGTTACGCCTTCTGGGAAATGGTCCGACTCATCCTGACTTTGGACTTTCCATAGTTGGGTTTGCTTCCTGAGTTGGGTCTGTGGTGCACTTGTCTTACAAGCCACATTCTCCCGTTACATCGCGCTCATGCCCAAGTATGTGTAGCGTCGTTACCATCGCTGTGCCTGCCGCTCTGCAGCTCTCTTCACGAGGAACGGTTGTCGTGGTATGTAATAATGCTGTCGCAATGCCAGGTGAAGAGGATGGCCTCTCGTCATTCTTCGGGAAAGCCTACACGTTACCAGATCTCCCTGAAGAAGGAGTGCGTTACGTCCCGTGAGGATAAGTAGCGCTTTGCGCTCTCAATGCGCTTCCTTTGAAGCACCCGTGTCTCCTGTGAATAAAAAGCTAGGAAATCAGACAGTTGTTTCTCGCATTTTCCTTGAAGATCAACACGTCATAGAACGGATGGCGTGTTTGTGTCACTAGCGATGGAGCGCGTGTCTCAGAAAACGGGGTTTGCGGGTTGCCTTCGGTGTTGGTTTCCTGAAGTTAAGTGGATGCATTAGAGAAGGAGGGGAAGGGTTCTGCAGGGACACACCGGCCGGCTCAGGGCGCTGGCGGGCCTGCCGTGGACGCGGAGTCTGGTCTGGGATCTCAACGTGGCTCGTCCTCGAGCATCTGCCGTCCCTTGGGCTGCTGGGCAGGGGTGAGCTGTGCAGGTTTGTCGCCAGCACTGAGGACGTGTGTCAGGCAGAAGGGCATGATGGCGGCTACCGAGGGGTTTTGTGAGGACTTAGGACAGTTTTCCTCCTTTCATAAATAAATCCTCACAACTAATTTATTTTTAATATTTTAAGTGTCTGGTAAATTTGTTTAGCTTTTAAATTGGTTTTAAAACTGATTCTGTATAGTGTGCCAAGAATCAGAACCTGCCTTTATTGTAAATATGACTGGTGGTTATAAACCTGCAGAAAACAGAAATGTATTATTTTGTCTATAACAATAAGTGGTTTCTGACATTAATACAATGTACCTATTGAAAAGGCGATTGATTTAATTTTCTGGCTGTAATTTAAGGCATGGTAAAAATATGATAGGAAACTCTGAATTTACATGTTTAAAGGCATCTTATGAAATTGTTAAACCTGGTAACTTGGGCAGATGTCTGGTGGAGCAAGGAGAGTGGTAGGAGAGGATTATGGATGGGGGTTGACATCACTTTCTATTTTTTTTCTGTATTATTTGGGTTTTGCAACAAGTACTCTTTTATAATTTAAAAGGATATTTAAACATAATGTGCTTATTACTGAGTATTCAGTAATTTCATAGATGACTAATTCCCAGGAAATTTGTTGTTCAGGTTAGTGAAATACTTTAAAATTTATATTGTATCGTTCTTTTTATTCCCTTATTACATGTCTCGTTGATCTCTGTTCCCTTTTCCTAAAGTACTGGCAGTTTTAAATATGGGTGTGTTTTTTTTAATTGATTTTAGAGGGAGAGGAGAGGAGAGGAGAGAGAGAAACATACATTGATGTGAGAAAGAAACATCCATCGGCTGCCTCCTGTATGCACCCCAACCAGGGTTTAACCCGCAACCTGGGCATGTGCCCTGACCGATAATCAAACTAGCGACCTTTCAGGGCATAAGATCGCACTGAGCCACATTGGCCAGGCTGTGAATTTTCTTGAATAAATATTATATTGGGGAATTTTTTTGGAGATTTGTGACAATTTGAAAAAACAGATGAAACACGTAGCTTAGAAATAGCAAAAAAACACTTAAGAAAAAGCCATGTCATGAATGCATAAACTACTGTATATAGGTAGTAGTGCATTTACCATCATAAAATATGCACAAATCTATTATAAAATATCTGACATAAAATTAACAAACTTACACATAACCACAGACTGCACGTGGCACCATTTGCTGTGGAGAAAAATGTAAACAAACATAGAGGTGCATTCAATTGTAAAGTCGTGGAGAGCTGGGTGGTGGGGGTAGTTCCATGGGTTGTGATGCGTGTGGAGAGCTGGGAGGTGGGGGTAGGTGTGTGGGTTGTGATGCGTGTGGAGAGCTGGGAGGTGGTGTAATGCGTGTGCACGAAACTGAGAGCAGGAACCAGGTGCTGCCTTTTCCTTTGCCGTCGCTTCCCCCGGGAGGGAGGCGGTGACCTAGCAAATGTAGGTGTTTTCCTGTTGTAAAGCACATGGATTTTTCTGCTTCGGTTGGATAGGAAGTTATAGGAGACAACACACTGTGAAGTTGGTATGTCCAGCCAGGGCTGCAGAGCCACTGCAGGTTCAGCACGGAGAACGTCTGGTGCAGGGAACTGGAGTGCTTGTGTATGATGCGCGCCCAGGGGCACTGAGGGACAGCCGGAGCTGGGCAGCAGCAGGAGGCCGGCCGCGCGCCTGGCTGAAGAGGAAGGGGCCAGGGGCCGGGCTGCCCCAGAAGCTGGAGCCTGACAGTATCAAGAGCAGCAGGAGCCGCTGCCGAAGCAGAGCCCGGGAGGAGAGGGGAGACGCTGGGGAGAAGTCCTGGCACCTGTCCCCCCAGCTCCAGCTCCCACAGCGAGGGCAGAGCGCAGGCGGGACACCGGCCCTGGGGATGGGGATGGGAGCAGCCTTGAGGAGACGTTATGCTTCCACCTGGACCAAGGGGAAACCGGAAATGGCACTGGACTTCGCTCTGGTGTGAGGACCCTCTGGTTGCATCCTGGGGTCCCCTGGTCCTCACCCGTCCACGCTGAGCAGGCTGGTGCTCAGTGGGGGCATGTGGTCTGCTCTGGCCTGAGTGACCTCTTTGGGAAAAGCCGTGGGTGGCTAGCACGCCCATCGCAGGTATCTGGGCAGGCCCGGGACGTAGTCAGCCTGCAAGGCCTGATTTCTCCTCCTCACGAGGTGATGGAGGCAGGTAGCCTGAGGCAAGCGCATGACCTGGCCTCTCAGATGCTGCAGGGCTCTGTGCTCTGTCTCTCCTGACACTGAACTTGATTTATCCTCATCAGCCAGTGGCTGTCTCGTGGAGGACGCAGTGTCAGTTGAAGAGTCAATGCTGATTATTTAGAATTAGGAGCAACTGTCAGAAATGGAACCTAAAGTAGGTTGGTGTAAACAGATAGTTATTCCTGTTTTATGTGAAGTTCTAGACATGGCCGTCCGGGGCTGGCATGGCCGTGTGGTTCCACGAAGTCTCACGTACCCGGAGTCCTTGGTGGTTTCGCTTTTGTTGAGCTGAGGGAAAGCTCTTCACCTCAGTCTCCCAGGCAGAGGCCAGGCTGTCCTCTGGCGTCCAGTGTGCTGCTGACACCCAGAAGGTCCTTTCCTGGGAAAAAGCAGACCCGACAGTGACAGCTGCAGCAGGCTCCGCCGTGTTCTCCGTGACCCCTGCCACGGGCAGGGTGCCCATCGCCCTGACCTGGCCGCCCGGGTCCGCCAAGACGGCGAGTGGGCGGAAGGCTCGGCGCAGAAGGGACCCTCAGCCTGGGTGCGCCGGCTCGAGGAGAGGCACGTCCGTGTCAGGCTGCGCAGGAAAGGCCTGACTGTGCGCCTGATTGTGGTGAGACCGTGACAAGATGTGGGGACAGTGTTTCCATGGCACACAATTCTGTCTCCCCGACGTGCCAGGAGCGCACCCTCAGCAGGGCCTCGGGCGTGTCTAACCCGCTCAGGTGGGTCCTCCTGCTGTGCGCCCTCCCTGAGCCTTCTGCTCCGAGGGGGATCTCAGCGCTTCTGTCCGTCTGTCCAGTGCGTGGCTGTGAGTTAGGAAAAGGAGTTTGCTCTGTGCCTTTTTAATCCGTGTTTTGTTGTTGCAGCGGATGAAGGTCGCAGCAGGGACCCCGACCGGCTGCAGGTGCTGTACAAGAAAGCCATCCTGCCTTACGGCGTGTTCAAGCAGCAGCAGCGGGAGCCGGGCGAGGAGGCCGCCGTGCTGCAGTACGCCAGCCTCGTGGGCCAGGCCTGCTCCGAGCGGATGCTGCTCTTCCGGAACTGAGCCGCTCCGCCGGCCGCACCCCGCGTGCTGGGCCTGTGCCGCCTAGACGCGCCGCTGCGGGCATCCCGGTCCACCCGCAAATCTCTTTTATTTTGACTATCATATGGCTTTTGTAAACTATTTTGTGGCAATGTACTTGTGAGAATCTCATGGTTAATGTAAAGATTTAAAAAATATGTTATGACCTAGCTCCATAATTGGGGTTTATAATTTCAGAAGTTTGTTTTATGAATAAGACATGGTAAGCTTCTCTTATTGTCAATATTTTAGAAAGTAAAATTAACCCGTGAATTGTAAGTAATTTTAATTACAGTTGTGCCTGTTTGTTCTGTTAGAATTCAAAGCAGAGTGTGTCCTCAGATCCATTTAAAACATTAGTTTATGCCAAAAAACAAACACCCTGACGCGTGGGGAAGAAGGTGGGGGCGTGTTTCATCGCTTAGAACACGCCTTCTCTGGAGAAGGGAACTGCTGTTCGTTCTCAGTGTTCAGTCCCTGCCGAGCGTCACGTCGTGTGGGTCAGAAGGGAGCTGGGGGGCAGGTGTGAGACGGAACAGGCGTCTTGACACCAGGTCTGTGGACCCCCATGGCCCCGCTCGCCCCCGGTGTGGCCTGATTTCTTCCGGGAAAGTTGTTGCTAGTGCTCCTGTCACTCAGTTTCCCAGTGTGGACAGTCGATCTGTATTTGCCCAGGTATGTAATTTGCTCTGTTTCTAAAAGTTTAGGAAGTGGTGTTTCTAAAGAAAATGTTGGCTCCTGCCTTCCCTGGCTGCTCATTCCTCTGGACTGAGGACACTCGTCGTTGGTTCTTGATTGAGAATTAGCTCCTATCCGGCTGCTTTCATAGCTGTGGCCTCCACTCTAGGGTCAGGGTGGAACTCCGTGTCTCGCCCTTTGATTGGGTGTCACTGGGGATGCGACGCTGGTCATTGAAGTGAAGCCTCCCCTGCCCCTCCCACTTCCTTTTGTTGGAGCAATTGCCCCTGTGGCCACTGTCAGGGCGGCGGGCTGTGGAAGCACGAGGATGGGTGGTTTTCTCGCGTTTTCTCCGTTGACCTGTCTCTGTTGACGTGTCTGAAGCAGAGCCCGGGAGGAGAGAGGAGAGGCTGGGGAGAAGTCGGCTGGTTTTCTCGCGCGCTCTCCGCTGACCCCTCGGTCCCGGCAGCCCCGTTCCGCCTTTGGTCTGTGTTGTGTTGCGTGAGCCTTTTGAGACTGTGCTCTAAAGCGCAGTCATCTGACCCTCACTGCTGCCTTTACATGTTCTTCTACATGCACTGAATTTAGAGAAAACATTGTACAGTCATTCCAGCAGCTAGAGCAGAAGGGAGACTCATAAAGAATGTTTCAGAAGTCAAATGTCTAGACATTGAACATCCCGGTAAACTGCATATTCACTCAGTGTGGTTCCACCTGCCGTGTGCGGCTACATGGCCACCTGGGGATAGTGGTGAGTGAGCCGTGTCCTCTGAGAGCAGGGATTTCACGTTCTCCTGGAACCCTTCAAAGCAGGCTCCAAGGGCATTCGATTGACTGGCTTATAGCTTCCTTCAGAATCTATAGAAAACTGCTTCTCTTGCCCTCTCAAGTGAAAGTAGCTTAATTTTTATGATTACGAAAATGATACTGTGAGCAATTAAAACATTAAGAAAAATATAACCAAGAGAGTAAAAATAATCAGAAATCCTGCCATACAGAGAAAGATTAGTCGTGTACACTCATATGTTATGTTAACATAAATCGGATTCCGTCTACATGCTGTTTTCTCAGTTGTGGGCTCTGAAGGTGGACGTTCTCAGGTGGGATCGGAAGGTGTGAGTGCTTCGGTGTGATCGGCAGGGCGGTCCTTGGTGCCCCGGGCACTCGGATGCCAGGTCTGGGCGTCGGCTGCCTCCCTCTGAGTAGTTGGCGTGTAGAATGGTGTTGGCAAGGATCACACTGAGTATCAGTGAGGAGACAGCTTGGCTCAGCACAAGCTGGTTTTTCCCGCAGGAGGCTCCTTCAGGGAGGCCGCTGGTCCGCCTGCCGGGACCTGGGCTGACCCTGCGGGGGCCCTGGTGGCTCAGGGAGGCCCCAGAGGGTCGGCATGAAGATTGGCTCGGTTGCTCAAGTCACGTGTTGGGTTTTTTGTTTGTTTTTGAGAACAGATAGCAGTTTCTTGAAAAGCCAGCCATGTGTTTCTCTGCGTCTGCTGCTGCCGCTGGTGGCTGGAAGGGAGGGGCAGTCAAGGGCAGTGGCCGCCTTGTCCGTTGACACACAGTCCAGCTGGGAAATCATCTCCCGTCCTGGCTTCCTCTAAAGACAGAACCTTTCCAAGCTGGCGGCTCTGGTCACACCCGCCTTCCTGTCTTGGGGCAGAAGGTACTAGAGGTTCCCCATACGACCATCATTACTTAAATTAGTTCTGTTCTATTGAAACTTTTGTTCTCTTATTTTTACAAAGTATAATCTGAGCACTTCTTATATTCTCAAATATAGAGCCTATTAGATAAATATGTAATCATTTGATTAAAATTGGATAAGAAATTACTGTTCATTTTCCCTTTCAAACAAGCTTATCCTGTTTTTAATCTATTTTTCAAAATATCGGTTGTGTATGGTTGCTTGACATAGTGGAATCTATTATGTAAATGAACCTTGTCAGGTTTTGAAGGATGTATGGTTTGATTTTATTGGCTTTCTATTATTTTAGTGTGAATAAAGGTGAAAAAGAATATGATGACCAGTTACCTAAAATGTGTCTGTCTTTTGCTAACTTTAAAGAAAGGGCAATACAGTGGGTGTAACTGGGAAATGGTTGTTAGAAGTTGTTCAAACGTGTCCTCTTGTCCCAGAAGAGGTCAGTGAGGCCGGACGGCTGGCGTGCACGTTACGTTTTTGCTCTCGTCTGTTCCTTCTGAGCGGCCGATGGGTAACGCTCGAGTGGAGACAATAAGCTGCTTCTGTCCGCAGAGGCTCCTGCTGGTCGATACACAAAAGACACGTGTGCCGCTCTGCTAACTCCTGGAGTTCCCTTCATCTGCGTGAACGTGTGGAGAGCAGAGAGAAGCATCGGCTGAAGCGTCGTGACATGGATTTTCGGTCAGTGGCTTCCCGGTCACTAGTCACTTCAGCCAAAGGAACCTGGGCTCCTTCCTCGGGAAAAAGAAGAGGAAGTGTCTCCTCCAGCAAGAACTGGGTTCCACAGGCACATCAGGGACGGACCTGTCACCCACAGGCACATCGGGGACGGACCTGTGTCACCCACAGGCACATCGGGGACGGACCTGTCACCCACAGGCACATCGGGGACGGACCTGTGTCACCCACAGGCACATCGGGGACGGACCTGTGTCACCCACAGGGACTTGCAGTGAAAGATTTGTTACAAACTCAGATGTAATTCTCTGTAAAGATTTAGTTTGCAGAGAAGTTTTCCTAAATATCGATAAAGCCGTCTGCTTCAGCTACTTGTAACAGTCCACAGTGTGTGTCTTTCCTGGTGAGTTTATGGTAAAACGAATCCAATTTTCCAAGTTATTCAAATATCAGTTACAATTCCCACGGACATTTTTTCCAGAATAGAAATAGCTTCACTGTTTTTCTTCTTTGCAACGACAGAAAAGTGCACCGAAGACCATGGAGTCGCTTACAGTCCCGACCCTAAGCCCCGCCCCTTCACGGGGGCGCCACCCTGTCAAGTGTTCTGCCTGCACGTGTGCCGCCTGTGGCTTTAAATAAAAAGACTCATGCCATGTATACTGTTCGCTACTCCTTATTTGATGTAGTGGAGCGTCTTAGGACATTGTGAAGATGCAGTGAGTGAGGAAAGAATGTCATTTCCGTGGCCGCACACTGTCCCGCTGTGTCTTCTCTTTTGAGACGGGGCGTGGACGTTAGTCCCCCGGGGGGTAGCAGGGCTGTAATTGACTGGCTTCACCGTTTTTGTCAGTTTTCTGTAAGATTTGGTGATGCCCTGGCCGGTGTGGCTCAGTGGATAGAGCGTCAGCCTGCGGACTGAAGGGCCCGGGGTTCGATTTCAGTCAAGAGCATGTACCTCGGTTACAGGCTCCTCCCCAGCCCTGGTCGGGGGCATGCGGGAGGCAGCCAATCGAAGTGTCTCTCTCACATCGGTGTTTCTGTCTCCCTCTCCCTCCCACTCTCTCTAAAGTCAGTGGGAAAATACCCTCCGGTGAGGGTTAGAAAAAGACTCGGTGATGCCCTCGCTCCGCATTCCGGCCCCCTGGCCGCCAGTGGTCAGTGAGCAGGAGGACTGGTCTTTGCCCTTGAAGGTCCCGCAGGGATGTAACTTGTACGGTTCTGCCCCACGCTCCCTGTCCCTCAACTGAACATCTGGGAGGCAGACCCGCACTGCTGTTCTTATAGGTTGCTCACCCCTAACGTTTCCAGTTAGAACATGTCTGTCTGTGAAGCTTGAGGTAGCCCTGGCTGGTTTGGCTCAGTGGTTAGAGTGTCAGCCCGAGGCCTCAAGGGTCACGGATGTGATTCTGGTCAAGGGCACGTACCTCGGTTGCAGGCTCGATCCCTGGCTCAGGCTGGGGCGTGGGCAGGAGGAAACCAAACCGTGTGTTTGTCTCACATCAATGTTTCTTTCTCCCTGTCTCTCACCCTCCCTTCCATTCTCTCTAAAAATCAATGGGGGGAAAATATCCTTGAGTGAGAATTAATAAATACATGCATACATGCATGCAGCAAACCCTAATAATACATACATACATGCAAACCCTAGTAATACATACATACATGCAAACATACAGCAAACCCTAGTAAGACATACATACACACAAACATACAGCAAACCCTAGTCATGCATGCATGCAGCAAACCCTAGTAATACATACATGCATACATACAGCAAACCTAATACATACATGCATACATACAGCAAACCCTAGTAATCCGAGGTGCCAGGTGTAAAGGCATGCAGTGCCTCCCACATAGGAGACCATGTAGACATTTAAACGTCCCGTTCACAATCGCTCAGACGATTCTGTGGGTCAGTGACCATTGTCCGCACACTGACCACGTCGGGCAAGTCTTGCAGAGCCTGGACCTGGATCCATCTGACGTCCCCGCTCGCGGAGGGGGTCTGACCCCACAGGGCGAGCACTCCCAAGTGGCTGTCTCTCCACGAGGATGTGGGCAGGTCCTCGGGCACCAGGGGAGCCTCCGCCCTCGGTGCCACCGCAGACTCTGCTGTGTCATGAGGGAGAGGTTTCGAGGCCGGGTACCGTTCTGTGCGTTTCTGTTTATTTTGAGAGAAAACTAGACAGCGGATGCCTGGGACACCAGCGTTGCTTCACGCAGCGGCTGTCATGGCGGTTACAGCTGCACCCAGGGCCCAGGTGGCTGCTCCATCTTGTCCGCGAGTTGCTCCCGCATTTCTTTCTCCTGCCTCCTCCTCCCACAGGGAGGCCTTACACCGTCCCCTCGGCTTGCTCCGGAGTCACAGGTTGCGGGGCTGACCGGCAGACCCTGAGCGACGGGGGAATGGTTACTCCGACACGTTTCTGTGAAAGAGGCTAAGGGACTGCCTGGCTTGAGAAACCAAACAGCCCAACTTCGCCTGCCTCCTTAGGCTTTTATTGTAACACCAGCTTGAACTAAGAGTATTAATACTATGAGCAGGGCAAGCATCCTTGCGAAGACACGTGCGTCTGCGGTGTCCTGTAAGCAAGCACGCTGAGGCCTAAGCATAACGATCCCAGTAAACACCCGGGGCTCAGCCTTGTTGGGAAAAGTCCTGCCTCCCCACAGCGGGAGCGCAGCGCACTGTCCACTGCCCAGTAGGTGGGAAACCAGCGCCCTTCAGACCGACGGGAGGGGGCGCCTGACCGGGGACGATGAGACTGGGAAACAGATTTGTAGCTTTTAACCAAAAAAATAAAAATAAATAAAGTCTCCGTATGTTGGTGGTAATAAGTGAGCTCTGTTGTGTGAGCTGTGTGCCCGGCCCCGGGCAGCACCATTGGACACGGAGGCCGGCCGAGCTGTTTCCTGGGGTCATCGGAAGCCCTGTGCTCACAGCAGCGACCAGCGGTGGTTCCAGAGCCCAGAGCACATGGCTCAGTCCCAGCGCCCGCGCTCCTGTGGTCAGAGGTGGGCAGAGCCGCCTGCTTGCCTGGCACCCGCTGGCGACCTGGGCAGAAGCGAGCTGTGGCGGGAGAGTGAATCGTCTTCATCGTGGGGAGCGAGCTGCTCAGGTGGCCCTGAGTGCAGTGGAGACGCAGCCGCTGTCCCTGTCCTGCCCTTTCGGTTGGTTTCCCCGGAGCCACCAGGGGGCAGAAGGAGACCGCCTCACCCTCTTCTTAAACTTCTGACAACCCCACGGGGAGAGGGGAGCTTTCCTTTGGCCCATCTTGGCCGATGTTTTTGATATGGATTCTCTTGCCCATTGGGCATGTCTTTGATTGTTTTATTTTTTCAGATTTGGGTTGTCTTTGAATTAATCCTCCCCTCTGCATCTAAGACAGTGGTGAGAGGAAATGACAGATATGTAGTGTCCTGTATCGATTAATGACTTTGGGGTTGGACCGGGGCCCCACACAGCATCCCTGCCTCCCCTACGTTGTTCTCCGCGTTCAGACTGGCTGGGCTGGTGCGGGACGGTGGCACCTCGGATTGGCTTATTGAGAAAGGCCTTCGGCAGCCTCCCGTCCCCATCCCCCACCCTCACCCCCCACCCTCACCCCTGGCGGTTTAACCTCCCTGACATCGCCCTTCTCATCGGTCCCTCTCCGGGTCCCACATCACAGCGACCCATCCCGGCCGAAGGAATGAACCCGCCTGACCAGCCCAGCTTCTTCCACCTTTCCCCATACATCTCCCTCCTGAAACCACCGCAGCCTTTTCCTTCCTGGTTCCTGACCTCCGTGGGGTCTCCCTCCCCTGTCGTGCCGGCCCTTTCCCCCTCCACAGGTTCGTGCCCGTGAGGTCACACCAGGTGCTGGGCCAGGGTGCTCGTGAGGCCGCGCCCACTGCGAGGACCCCACTGCTGGCCCTTCCCTTGGTCCCGGTTCTGGTGACTCTTCCCGAGCTGCCCAGGACCCGCGGCCTGGCTGCCGATGCTGTTTCATCTGTGGAGGAAGCGAGCGCCCGCTCGGGGGCCTGCACAGGAGCCATGTCCGTTCCCAGGGCCAGACCCACCTCTTCCAAGAGGGGCGATGTGGTCCACGCAGCGAACCTAGTGTCATAGGTTCTGTCAGACCGTTTCCCCCGGAGACTTCGCTACTGGCCCCACCGGGCCTGTGTTCTGCGTGGCCCGGCGTTTCCAGCCAGTGCGGTGCCGGACCCGGGCATCTCGGCGGAAGTCGCGGGGCTCACTTTGGCTTCCGGGCCACAAAGGGCATGGGAGTCGCGAGTGGCAGGTCTGGGCTGTGCCCCTGCCGTGTATCAGACTTTCCACCCCATTTCGAAGGGAGAGAGAGAACAATAAGAGCCGGTGTGGGACCATTTCAATCAGGACCAAGTTCCCCAGGAGGCCCCGCGACCCAGACCTCCCGGCTCCTGCCACACCCTGTAAAGATAAAGGTTGAGCCGGGAGTGTTTGTTTTGCTCTGATTGCTGGTATTTTGTGTCGCTAGTAAAATCCTCAGGCATCTGGCCCGAGAGGGCGGCCTCGCTTTTGATACGACTGCTCGCGGCCGCCCAGCAGGTCACGTCTTCCTTGGCTAAGGGGCTCCTGTGGAAACCCCACGCTCGCTGGGCATCGCCCACGGGAAGGGGTCCG